ATGGATGGATGGATGGATGGATGGATGGTTCTCCCACATAGTTAGTTGGCTGAACTTTCTAAGGGAGAATGCTACCCAAGAAGTTAGAGGGCACTGATTACTCTCTGGGTTGTTGTTAAGTGCCATTGAGTTGGTTCCAACTCATAGCGACTCTCAAGTGACTGGTGGGGTTGAAGCACGTGAGCAATCCTACAGCACCACCCAGAGTTACGCAAAGGAATCTCTTCTAAGTCACAAGGGTAAAGTCTGGAGATTGCTGAGGAACAGGGAAAGGAGCAGGAAGGAGAAGGGAGTAGAGCTCACAGCCTGCCAGAGAGCCTGGTGCTTCTCCACGTCATTAGGAAGATTCCCAAATTCCTTTGAGAACACTTCTGACAGAAGAATGATATCCTCCCAGCCCTGGTCCGACAGCCAGCTACAGGGCTTTTTGCGTTTGCTTTTCTCCAGGGAGATGTTTCCTGGAGAGGGGGAAGAAGGGGAGTAAATGCCCATTGTGCTGCTGACCTGGGCCCCAGGGAGACTACAGGCTGGAGGAATGGACCTGTCCTTGTCATTGCTGGTGACTCCAACAGGCAGCGCAGGGCAGCCTTAGGCAGGTACTGGTGGTTCTATGTCAGACCAGACCCATGTTTAAAACTGGAATTGCCAACTGAAAACTAAAGCCCACTGCCGCCAAGTCGATTCCGATTCACAGAGAGCCCACAGATAGGACAGAACCACACCAAGAGCTTCCCAAGGCTGTGATCTCTACAGAAGCAGACTGCCTCAGCTTTCTCCTATGGAGCGGCTGGTGGGCTCGAACCACCAATCTCTTGGTTTGCAGCTGAGCATCTAGCTACTAAAGCAGTCCTCTTAGAAGCCACATTATCCAGAGAAATTTTGCTGGCATTATTTTAGTGGACAAACATGCACAACAAGGGTCAAGGAACTTATGAGGAAGGAAATAAGGCAAATCCATTACCTTTGAGGAAGAATTCTAATTCCTCTTGGGGCACTCTCCCTTCTGCTTGCTCTATCTTGATGGTCATGTTGAATGAGAAGAGGAGTTTGTGTTTCTCAAACAGCCCTGGCAGAAAGCACCAGACGAAGGGATGAAAAAATGCTCCTTATCTGATCAAAAGTGCAGTTTCTTCTGCACAGAATATTTACATTTAAGGATCGTGAACTGAAACACCAGGCAGTCCGGCTGGCATTTGATGTCAATGAGTGTGGGGGCAGGGACTCAGTCAGCAAGGCCCCCGACAGTGCCGTATACAGACAGACTCTCAACCCACCAGCATCAGAAATAGCATGGCCCCTCCCCGGGAAGAGGCCAGCAGGGCCACAGGGCAAGTGAGGGACAGCAAGTGAAGACTTTGAGGCCACAAGCCAGAGTTGAGAGCGGGGCTTATGGTTAGCTTCGCCCCACACTCAGCCCACACCACCACTAGGGTGCCTTTTCGCTGTGTATACTCTCACACACACTCACAAATATCAGAACTAAGAGAAAACATTCCAACAAGACCAAAATGATACTATTTTTTTGAAATGGGTATCAACAGGAAAAGAATTCCTGGAAACTGAAAATACAGTAGTAGACATGAATGATGTAGGAGAAGGGTTGGAACACAAACTTTCATCCGCCACGTTTCTGCAACAGAGAAGACAGGCACCTGGGCCCCAGTCAGCACGCAAAGGGGCTCACCTGTACAGCCATAGTTATAGATGTTGAAGGTCAACGTGTCCATGATGTTCCTGAGCCTCTTCATGAGAATGGAGTCAGGCATGGACTTCTTCAGGGACAAGCCAAAGACCTCCAGGAAGGCGATCAGTGAGTACTGATACATGGAGTTGACCAGGGCCATCTCGGACAGGACGAAGAAGAGGATGGCGCCCCTCCTGGCGGCTGGCCGGTAGCCGTCTCGCAGCCGGTCAATGTCCAGGGCTGTCTTCTCTGCCAGTTTGAGCTTCTCCAAGACCTACAGCAAAGGTGCACATAGAAGAGAAGTCCGCGCCACAGAAAAGGCGTTGATAGGCGGCACCAAGGAAGGCTCGCCACATGGACAAGCATGTCAGGAGTGGATGGCGTGGGGGCAGCCGAGAAATCAGGGCTGGGCTCACGGGGCTCAGATAACACTGAGACGGGCCAGGTCAAGGGCAGAGACCCTCTGGGGGAAGCTGGTGAAAATCTGTGGTTTGACTCCTGTTACGGATTGAACTGTGTTCCCCCAAAAGATATGCTGAAGCCTGAACCCCTGAGCCTGTGAATGTGATGCTGTCTGGAAATAGGGTGTCTAAAGATGTGAGCGGTGACATTAGTATGGGGTGGTACTGGGGGGTGGGTGCTGATCCACTGGAGCACTGTCCTTATAAGAGGAGAAAAGACAGAGGGACACACAGGAAGACAGCCACGTGATGACTGAGGCTGACGCAGCTCCAAGTTAAGAAACAGCTGGAACCACTGGAAGCTGAGAGACACCAGAAGGGACCTGCCTCTGAGGATACCCCAACCGAGGCACCCAGGAGACTGGGACAATTCCCCTGCAAGCACGCCCCATTCTTCCAGAGCTGTCCTGATTATTACTTGGAGATTCAATCTCCACTTGGGAGAGGAGCACGTGACCCAGGCCCAGCCTATCGGCACAATATCCCAGAAACCATGGGAACTGGTTTGCAGTGGTGTGCCTTAAGTGATTCTCAGGACCTTCATGATCCTCACTCTTCCCCTTTGGACTTGAGCCTGAGAAGAAATGAGGCCAGAGCCCTCCTGCGATCCCAAGGGGAGTCTGGCTCCAGGCGGAGGCTGAGAGGGGACCAACCCACGGGGATGTTCGCATTAAGGCTACAGACAGCCTAGTTCAACAGATCACACAGGTTCCATAAAACAGACGCGGCTGCTGACTTCTGTACTCAGAAATGGTACACTGTATGTGATAGATACTCGTGTACACATGTATAGTCCCGGGGTGGCGCTGTGAGTTAATGCGCTGGACTGCAAAGTTTGTTTGAACCACAAGGTTGCTGGTTCAAACTCACCAGCTGCTCTTCCAAAACCCTATACAGGGTCGCTATGGGTCGGACCCGACTCTACAGCATTTAACAACAACAACCTTTGGTTTCCGAAGAGTGTCTGGTGAGTCTGAACTGCCAACCTAGCAGTTCAAATCAACCTTGCAGTCCAGTGCTTACTTTAGGATTCCGTACGTACACTCTAGTTGTTAAGTGCCGTCGAGTCGATTCTGACTCATAGTGATCCTGTATAGGGTTTCCAAGGTGCAGATGGTGGTTTTCATCTGCCAAGCTGCAGTTTAAAGTCCGGTTCTGATCTAACAGCACCAGCCCAAGAGTCCATATGCACACTAGGGGGCTGCAAAGAGTGGGTGCAAAGTCAGGAAGGGCATCCTTGACCACACTGTAGGGAACAGCAAGCCTCATCCTCTTCTATCCCTCCTATAATAATATTCTACATAAAGTATAGCACCGTTTACACACGGCTGATTTCTAACTTTTGTTTGTAGTCTGTCTCCTGCATACCATCATGGGAGCACAGAATCTGGTTGGCCACAGAATTGTTAGCACTGAGAACACTACCTGTCGTGTAGTTGTTGCTGTTGTGAAGTGCCTTCAGGTTGGTTCCAACTCACTGTGACACTATGGGGTTTCCAAGGAGCAGCTGGTAGATTTGAACTGCAAACCTTGCATTTAGCAGTTCGGTCACAGAGTAAGTGCTCAACAAACCTGTGTCAAGTGGGTAGATGGGAGCACGGTGGCTCCATAAGATAAGCACTGGACTGCGAATCACAAGGCCCATGGTTTGAGCCCACCCTTCGCTCCGCAGGAGAATGATGCGGCTTTCTGCTCCAGCAAAAAATGAAAACCTCAGAAACTCTATACAGGGTCACTGTGAGCCGGCACCAACCTGAGGGCACTTAACAACAAGGACGTGGCCGCACTGCTACTGTGCACTTTCAAAGACCCTGGATCAACATAAGGCACGCGTCTCTTACTGAGACACAAGAGTGCTTAGATGAAAACTCCTTAATACAAAACATTACTTTAAAAAAAAGTTTGTACAGAAATTCCAGGATCTTTTCATTCTATTTTTACGTGAACTTTTTGAAGCCTCCTTGTGTGTGTGTAGATCTCACCACAATGAAAAAAGCAGTCACTTGGAGGGCTAGTGTCATGGGGACTGTGGTTTTTCATAACGAGAGCCCTCTGTCTCAGGACCCAGCTCAAGTGGCAGGTGGAAACCACCATTCATTGTGCCTTGTTCAGTATTACTGTCTCTCATGGGCCAACCTTCCCCACCCCCAAAGACTGGAACAATGAGAGGCACTGGGTCTCTGAAGATAAGACAGCTGCTTCAAATTCTCTCTGAACCTATCAACGGTCACGCTCAAGATCTGACGTGCCCCTAAACCTGGCCAGCCATCCCCCGACAGCCAACAGCCCAACCCCACTGGAGGCCAGTAGCCCTGTGCCCTGCCCACCCTCAGAGCTGGCGTCTCCAGGAGGGGCAGAAGCGGAGGAGATCCGGAATGATGGCATGCCCAGCCCAGGCATGGCTGCCCTGCCCCTGCCTCCACTTGTACCTCTGAAGCTTTGGACTTGGTCTCCTCCAGGGTCTGCACGAGCTCCACGTTGTCCAACATGTTCCCGGTGGAGGTGGCCAGCTCCCGAAGGAGGGAGTCTTCCAGGTCCTTAAGTAGGTTCTTGTTCTCGCTGGTCTCCTGAATGAGGTGTTCCCGCTGCTCCTCCAGCTCTCTCCTCTCATAGGCCACCAGGACGCTCAGCAACTGATCTTCGAGGCCTTTCAGTGTGACTATGGGGACGAGGGGGCGAGGAGAGGTCCTCACTGCCATGTCCCCACGGCATGCGGGATCCGTGTCTTGTGACCCACACAACTGGGACTGGGACAAACTGGGCATGTGTCTGAACCAGCATTTGAGGAGCACAAGTACTGGCCCCCGGCACAAAAATCACCCTAAAGCAACAAAGCAAAAAAATAGCAGACAAAATGGACATGTTGCTGTTGTTGTTGTTTAGCACTGTGGAGTTGGTTCCGACTCATAGTGACCCTGCACAGGGTCTTTACAGGAGCAGAACACCTCATCTTTCTCCCACAGAACCACTGGTAGTTTCAAACTGCCGACCTTGAGGTTAACAGCCCAGTTCGTAACCACTACGCTACCAGAGCTCCTTACATGTTGCTGTAGGGGCTGGTAAACAAAGAGTGAAGAGGTACGCCCCCGAATACAATCCAGGCTCCTACATGCTGTAGTTTAAAGCTCACCCAAACTAATGAGCTTAGTTAAGCAGCTGTATGACAGTGTAGGAGGAGTTCTGGTAGCGTAGTGGACAACGAGTTGAGCTGCTAACTGCAAGGTCAGCAGTTCGAATCCACCAGCCGCTTCACGGGAGAAAGATGAGGCTTTCTGCTCCCGTAAAGATTTACAGCCTTGGAAAGCTGACCCTGGGTCACTGTGAGTCAGAACCGACTCCACAGCACATCACCAGCATCCACCATGACGGTGTATAACAAGGAATAACAATGGATCTTGACTGAAAGCAGAAAGGTGTTTACCTGCATTTGACTGACAATGCAAAGGGGCTCCACTGTGTGCATTATAACAAATTATGGGTAACATTGTGAAGAACGGGAATTTCAGAACGCGTAATTATGCTTACGCGGAGCCAGGTCATACACCAATTCGTTTAAAACAGAACAAGGGGCTGCTGTGTGATTTAAAATCAGAAAGACGAGCATCAGAGTTGTATCCTTTCACCACACTTGTTCAACCTTTATGCAGAGCAAAAAGTCACCTGACAAGCTGGACTATATGAAGAACATGGCATCAGGGTTAGAGGAAGCCTCATTAATAACTAGCAATATACAGATGATACAACCTTGCTTGCTAAAAGTGAAAAGGACTTGAAACACTTACTGATGACAAGCAAAGATTATCTGCTCATTATAGGTTGCACCTCAATGTAAAGAAAACAAAAATCCTCACCACTAGGTCAGTAAAACAACATCAGCATAAATACAGAAAACGTTGAAGTTGCAAGGATTTCATTTTACTTGGGTCCACAATCAATGTCCATGCATTGTCCACGCACAGTGTCCATGCAAGAACGCAAGCAACAGATTGCATTGGGCAAACAATTGTAAAAGACCTCTTTAAGTATTAAAAAGCAAAGATGTGACTTTGAGGACCAACATGCACCTGACCTAAGCCATGGTACGTTCAGTCATCTCATATACTTGTGAAAGTTGGACAATGAATAAGGAAGACTGCAAATCTATCTTGAAAGAATTATACACAAAATGTTCTCTAGAAGCCAGGATGGTAAGACTTCGTCTCACACTTCGGACATGTTATCAGAAGGGACCAGTGCCTGGAGAAGGACATCATGCTCGATTCAGTGGAGGGTACATGACAAAGAGGAAGATTTTAACAAGAGGGATTGGCACCGTAGCTGCAACAATGGCCTCAAACATGGCAGTAATTGTGAGGATGGCACAGGACTGGGCAGGATTCTGTTCCGTCGTGCATAGAGTCTTTATGAGTTAGAACCAACTCAACAGCACCTAACAATAGTAACAACAGACAACCCTAGAAAATGTAAAATGTGGGACCCCATTTCTATCACAGCTCAAGTGAGAGGAAAGGAGGGAACACAAAATCAGGGTTAAATTTTAATTCACAAAAATAAGCAATTTCCTGGCTCAGAAGTCTCACACCATTCCAAGGGAAATCCAGGAACTCAAGGTTAGCTCGGGTTCAGTGTGCACCAAAACAAGTAGTCCACTGCATTCCAAAGGGCCCTCAAACCTGGTAGGTTTTTGCTTATTTGTTAAGAACTGACCAATTCAGATGTGACTGTGAGAATGTCCTGGAGTCCCTGGATGCAAGGTGTCCCCTGGAAGCCTCCATCTTGGATAGTGGTTTCCATAGCAACCCCCTGGATTTGTACTCAGGGTTCTTACCAGTGTAATTGATCACCATCGCTTTCCCAAACACCGACGGAGTGTATCTGGGATTGGCCAGCTTGGTGTTGAGGTAGAGCCGGAAACCGGAGTCATAGTCAACTTCCTTGTCTCCAAGTACGATAAATTGCCGTCCTTGTGAGACCTTTATGTTCTTTTCTAGGACATTGTCAATAACGGGGTCGATATACTCATCAACGTCATGAAACAGGAAGGGAGTCCCATACTTGATGGACATTTCCAGCTGCTTCAGGAAGTCGGGGTCGTTAAAGGAGGCAACCTGCCAAGAGAAGGGAAGCAGGTGCTGGCGGTCAGCATATTTAACTGGGCCCTTGACAAATGTACGGGAACAACACCTAGTCATGACCCGGAAGGGAGCCCAAGTGGTTGGAAGTTACAGGGAGAGAAGCAAAGTTTGTCAGAAATCCATGTGGCTCAGGCTCACAGCAGCCCTTCCTCTAACAAGCAGAGTTAGCAGTCAGGGTCACGACAGGCACAGGCCATGCTTCACTCACGTCTCTCAAAAGATCTCAAAAGGGACCCAATCCCCAAGTCCAAAATCATCATTGTTTAAGTCTCATTCTTTTATTTACTGTCCACACACCGCATGACTGGTTGGATATCTTTATCCTCAAAATATTTAAAAAAAAAAAAAAAACTTCCTCGTATATGTTGTTGTTATGTGCCATGGAGTCTGTCCCGACTCATAGCGACCCTGTACAGGGTTTCTGAGGCTGTAAATCTTTATGGGAGCAGAAAGCCTCATCTTCCTCCCGCAGAACAGCTGGTAGTTTCGAACTGCTGACCTTGAGGTTCACAACCCGATTCGTAACCATATAGCTCCTGGGATTTCCCTTCCTCTTGGTCCCTGTCTCCCAGGATTTTATAATGGTGATTTATTCATAGGCCTCTTTCCCATAAGCTAGAATCCTTCCTTTTTAGGTGGGGTTGGAATAACACTGGGGGCTAGGAGCAGGCTGGATATTTCAGAACTCTCTGGCAGGCTTGTTGTTGTTGTTAAGTACTGTGGAGTCGGTTCCAACTCATAGCGACCCTGCACAGGGTTTCTGAGGCTGCAAATCTTTACATGAGCAGAAAGCCTCATCTTTCTCCCATGGACTACCTGGTAATTTCGAACTGCCGACCTTGAGGTTAGCAGCCTGATTCGTAACCACTACACTACAAAGCTCCTTCTCTGGCAGGCTTAGGGAAGGGGAATTCTAGAAATACTCCTGTGTTAATAATATTTGTACCACTTCAACTATCTGAATTTTACAGGCAAAAATTCCATACTCTTGGAATTCAAAGGGGCTTCCCCAGCATCACATCAATACCTGAAAAAGAAGGAAAATTTAAAACTGAAAATGGCTAATTTGTTTATTGTTGTTGTTTTGTAGTGCCAGTGAGTCGGTTCCAACTCACAGTGACCCTGTATAGGGTTTCCAAGGAGTGGCTGGTGAGTTTCAACTGCCGACCTTGTGGTTCAAACTGACCTTGTGGTCCACAGATTTATCCCACAGCGCCACAAAGGTGATCACACCTGAGCAATTCCAATCCTAGGTATGCAGCCAAGAGAAATGGAACTAAGTGGTTATTGTTGTCGTTAAGTGTCATCAAGTTGGTTTCAACTCATAGCGACCCTGTATAGGGTTTCCAAGGAGCAGCTGGTGAGCTTGAGCCACCAGCTTGTGATTCAAATCACAAAGTTGTGATTCAAACCAACTATGCAGTCCAGCATATTAACCCACAGCACGACACCAGGACTCTAATGAAAATACACGTGCACACAGAAATGTGTACACAAACATTCACAGCAGTACTATTCACAAGGGCCTAAGGGTGGCACCAACCCAAGTGCCCATCTGTTGGCGGATGGGTGAATGAATGGATGAATGAATTGTATTCCATTTCCAAACAATGGGATACATTCAGCCATGAAAGGAGCAGAGCTCTGATACAGTTTAGATGCCAGTCACAGAAGACCACCTACTGTCTGACTATGAAGTGTCCAGAACAGGCAAACTCATAGAGGCAGGACATAGACTCGAGGTTGCCGGGAGCTGGGGAAGGGGTCATGAGTGACTGCTAATGGGTGGAGCTTTCTCTTTGGGGTGATGATGAAATGTTCTAAAACCGCTGGTGTTGATGGTTGACTGTCTGTGACTGTCTTAGAAACTGTTCCAAAGGGCCCTTTAAATGGGTGAATGGCATGGATGGTGTCATGGTTTGAGTTGCATCCACCCAAAATACATGCGGCCATAGTTCTCAATGGGTTTTCAGTTATGCAGTGATGTAATGTGGCAGTTCTATGGTGACAGTTGTAAAGGGTTAGGTGGGCTGTCCCATGCTTACTTAGGTCACAGTCTGATGGAAGGGGAGTTTTCTTGGGTGTGACCTGCATCACCTTTTATATTGCTGTTGTTGTTAAGTGCCACTGAGTGGGTTTGAACTGCCAACCTTGTAGTTGGCAGCCCAGTGCTTACCCTACAGTTCCATACCAAGACCACATGCAGAGAGTGGAACCTCAGGACCACCAAGAAAGCCGAGCCAGGAGCACAGCACGTCCTTTGAACTCAGGCTCCTTTTGCTGGGAGCCTCCCAGACCCAAGGGAAGTCTGATGCCAGGATCCATGGACATCTCCAAGGAAAGCCAGGCCCTCAGATGCTGAAAGGAGACAGGGACCTTCCTCCCTCCAGAGCCAAGAACAGAGAGAGAGCTTTCCAATAGAGCTGGTGCCCTGGATTCCAACTCCTAGCCTCCAAAACCATAGAGAATACACTTCTAGTTGTTAGAGTCATCCACCTGTGGCAGTTTTGGTATTACAGCAGCACTAGATAGCTAATACAGATGGTATGTGTATTCTGTCTCAATCAAACTGTTTCCCAATCCCCAAACACCCAAAACACACAGTGATCAAGCATCTGCCACCAGCAAGCTGCATGAAGGCCCGAAAGCCGTGCGTTCTGCCTTCAAGTTGCTCACAGCCTGAGGGAGGCTGCGTGTGTCAAGAAGACAGCGGTGCACGCTGGCCAGGGCTCCTCAAAGGCTCCGTGAGGCTGCACACAGAGCGGGTGGAGGGCTGGAGGCCTGGGGGAAGGGGGGCCATACCCGCAGGTTGTTCTTCTCTTCTTTCCTCTTGATCCAGTTAAGGGCCTGCTGCTGGGGGTCGATGCACAAGGGGAAGCGGCTGGCCCTGGTGGTGAGGATGCCGTTCTGAATGGAGAGCTCATCTGGAGGCAGTCCCTGGGAGCCCCACCTGGAATAGACAGCAGCGGTGAGCAAGGCTGGGGGCTCGAAGGGTCAGCCTGCCGGGCTCCTGGTTGTGACCCAGGCCATCATCTTCCTGCCACTCTCACCCAGAGCTCCCATAAACCCCACCCGAGAATCCCCGGCTCCGTCCTCCTGGTTCAGAGCAGCACACACCTGCTAATCTCGACATCGTCTGTGAGCAAGTTCTCCAACTTGAAAGGCTGGCTCAGAGGGATGCCCCGTTCCAGGATGTCGCTCTGCCATACTTGGTTGACCATCTCATCCCGGAACTCCCAGGTGAAGGCTCCCTCATAGCTGAGGAAAGCCGCACACAGCAAGCAGTCCCCCAACAACTTCACTCGGCGGAGCATCAGCTCCCCCAAGTCATTCAGCCATCTGCCGGGGAGAGTGGGCTGTGGTCAGCCATCACCTGCCACTCACCCCCCGTGGGAAACTTCCTGAAGGACAAGGGTCCTGCAGTGCTATGGGGAGCTCTACCCCAAATCTAGCCAGCTCACCCAACCATAATGGATCTTCTGTAAGACTGTCTCACACCAGGGCTCAGCAGAAGTTAGCATCCGGCAATCCACCAACTGGCTACCATCAAGCCAATGCCAACTTATGGCAAACTCACGTGGGCCTAAGCAGAACCGTACTCCATGGGGTTTCTGAAGGCTGCGATCTTTCTTTTGGAAGTCTATCTTCTAAGACATCTTTGAGTGGGATCAAACCTCCAACATTTTGGTTAGCAGCCCAAGCACTTAACTGCTAACACCACCCTGGGACTGCATCGAGCAGGGGCCCAATGTCTGTGGAATGCATTCCCATTCCAAATCTTACGGATCAGGCAGTCACCCACAAGACACTGAGGCCCAAGACTGAACAAGCCACAGGGTCTGCAGACTCAGGGGTCAGAGGTTGCTGAGAGGTCAACCTTCCAGGATATAGGGGCACCTATTAGTTCTTGGGTTAAAACGCAATGTGGAATAAAAAATAAATATGGCAAGAAATTCCATTTATGACAATGATAGTCAAAGAACAAAGGCCCTAGCTGTAAAAGGTCACTGTGGTCAGCAAAGATGGAGGAAAAACAGGGTTCGCTTCCTGCAAGCCTCGGGACACATTTTCATCAACTAATCAATACACGGTCCTAGGATGACACTGCAGAAAAGCACTGGACCACAAGAGCAGTTTGAGCTGCAAGGTCAGTGGTTCAAACTCACCAGCCGCTCCTTGGAAACCCTATGCTGGGTAATTATGAGTCGGAACCGACTGGACAGCACTTAACAACAACAATCAATACACAACCTTGCTTTCAGCACGACTCTGAAGACACTTCATTCATTGTTGTTGATTTCTGAGCACTAGACTCATAGCCCACGGACCATCCACAAACTCCTGCCCCGACGTCCCACATCTAACTCCGCCAGCAGCGGTTTCTTTGTAAGGTACAGCAGGGCTTTCGTGAGTCTGGGAGCAGCAGACAGCGCACTTCCACACCACGTCATGAAACCAACCACCATGAGCACAAAAATGTGGAAACTATGGCCTTAAATACACTGTGCACTTGTTTACAACCTGAGAGCGGAGACAAGAAGGCAGAGTGGCCAGCATCTGACAGGTTCCATCTCAGCTGGGAAGGTGCTCTCGGGGAGATTCCCTCCCGTTGTCCACCCCTCTTCACATGTCCTCACCTGACTGCAAACACTCTGTGAGAACTGGTCTTGGGGTTACGAAGACGTTTCCGTAAATAGGCTAACTGCCCCGTGTGGAAGCTGAGAAGGGTGCTTACGGACCGGACTGACCTGGGTTTGTTACCGAGACTGACCTGATGTTTTCAGAGCCGAGACCTGAGATAAGTTTGTCGGCTGCAATCAGTCGTCTCTCCATGATTTCGGCTTCGTCCTGCAGCATTTGCTTCTCCAAGATGGCTGCCTCATACTTGGCCCCTAAAGCTTCCAGTTCTTTCTGGATAGCCGCCAGCTCATTCTGGATCTTTTCAAGTTCCCGTTTAGTTAGGAAGAAGTTCCGCTCCAGCCGGGCCACCTAAGTAGACAGTCACAGAGCAGTGAGGTAGAGGAGCTGGGGGGAGGGCCAGCAAAGATCAGTCTCACACCTTTCTGAAGTCATGCAGCCTGCAAGAGCCAGAAACTGCTCCCTGAGAGGATCTTTTTTTATTTTTAGTACCTAATACTTTATTCCTTTTTGTTTGTATAATACTCTTTATATTATTAAAATATAAAGAGTTCTGTGTGGCACTGTGGGTTAATGAGCCAGACTGAAAAGCCTTTTGATCTGCAAGGTCGGTGGTTCAAGCTCACCAGCTGCTCCTCAGAAACCCTATACAAGTCGGAACCGACTTGATGGCACTTAACAACATACATAGTTTATTCCTCACAGTTCTCCCAACAAATTAACATTATTCAAGAACACAATGTATATACAGATAAGAAGCACATGAAACATTTTAAATGATGCACAACTGATCCAACAGTATGAAACAACGTATGTGAACTCTTGTTCACGGCATAGACTAAATTGAATCACTCCTTTAATTGGTAATAAAAATACAATTTTTAATGACTCTTGTGCAGACTACACAAGTTGTTGTTTTTGTTAGGTTCCATCGAGTCGGTACCAACCCATAGCAAACTTATGCACAGCAGAATGAAACACTGCCCTATCCTGGGCCAACTTCACTACTGTTGCCATGCTTGAGTCCATCGATACAGCCACCTGGCCAATCCATCTCGTTGTGGGGGGGGTCTTCCTCTTTTTCTCTGACCCTCCACCTTACCAAACATGATATCCTTCTCCAGAAACTTGTCCCTCCTGACAGTAGTTCAAAGTATGAGAGACTAAGTTTGGCCATCTTGGCCTCCAAGGAGCACTCTGGCTGCACTTCTTCCAAAACTGATCTACTGGTTCTTTTGGCAGCCCATAGCACTTTCAGTATTCTGCTTCAACACCATAACTCAAAAGCATCAATTCTTCTATTGTCTTCCTTATTCACTGTCCAACTTTCACATGCATATGAGGTTATTGAAAATACCATGGCTTGGGTTAGGGGCACCATAGTCCTCAAGCTGACATCTTTGCTCTTCAACACTTTGAAAAGGTCTTGCGCAGCAGATTTGCCTACTGTAATACGTCCCTTGATTTCTTGACTGCTGCTTCCATGAGTGCTGAGAGTTGATCCAAGAAGAATGAAGTCCTTGACAACTTCGATCTTTTCTCCATTGATAAGAATGTTGTTTATTGGTCCAGTGGTGAGGATTTTTGCTTTCTTTACATTGAGATGCAATTCATACCAAAGGCTGTGTTCTTTGATCTTCATCAGTAAATGTTTTAAGTCTTCTTCACTTTCAGTTGTATTATCTGCATATTGCAGGTTGTTAACGAGTCTTCCTGCAATCCTGATGTCACGTTTTTCTTCATAGAAACCAGCTTCTCAGATTATTTGCTCAGCATACAGGTTGAATAAGTATGGTGAAAGTGTACAACCTTGTCGCACATCTTTCTTAATTTTAAACCATTCAGTGTTCCCATGTTCTGTTTGAACAACTTTCTCTTCATCCATGTACAGATTCCTCATGAGCACAATTAAGTGTTCCGGAATACTCACACTTTGCAATGTTGTCCATAGCTTGTCATGATCCACACAATCGAAAGCCTTTGAGTAGTCAATAAAGCCAGGTAAACATCTTTCTGGTATTCTCTGCTTTCAGCCAAGATCCATCGGACATCAGCAATGATATCGCTCGTTCCACGGCCTCTTCTGAATCCGGCTTGAACCTCTGGAAGTTATCTGTCAATGCAGCTGTTTCTGTATTACCTTTAGTAAAACTTTACTTGCATGGGATATCAAAGAGATGTCCAATGATTTCTGCATTCCATTGGATCACCTCTCTTTGGAATGGGCACAAATACAGATCTCTTCCAATCAGTCGGCCAGATAGTTGTCTTCCAAATTTCTTAGCATAGCTGAGCAAGTGCCTCCTGTGCCGCCTCATTTTCTTGAAAGATTTCAATTTTTATTCCATCAATTCCTCGTGCCTTGTTCTTTGTCAATTCCTTCAATGCACCTTGGACTTCTTCCTTCAATATCATTGGTTCTTGATTATATGCTACCTCTTGAAATGATTGAACATTTACCATATCCTTTTGGTACAGTGACTCTGTATATTCCTTCCATCTTCTCTTAATGCTTTCTGCATCATTCAATAATTTGCCCAGAGAATCTTTCAATAACGAAAGTTGAGGCTTGAATTATTTCTTCAGTTCCCCCAGCTTGAGAAATGCTGGGCATGTTCTTCCTTTTTGGTTTTCTGATTCCAGATCTTTGCACATTTTGTTGTAATATTTGGCTTTATCTTCTCGAGCTGATCATTGAAATTTTCTTTATAGTTCTTGGACCTCCTCATTTCTTCCTTTTGCTTTAGCATCTCTATGCTGGAGAGCAAGCTTCAGTGTCTCCTCTGACATCCATTTTGATCTTTTCCTTCTTTTTTGTCGTCTTAATGACTTTTTGCTTTCTTCGTTTATGATATTCTTGATGTCATCCCACAACTCATCTGGTCTTCGGTCTTTAGTGTTTAATGCATCAAATCTGTTCTTCAGATGATCTCTAAATTCAGGAGGGATAAATTCAAGGTCATATTTTGGCTCTCGTGGACTTGTTTTCATTTTCTTCAGCTTCAGTTTGAATTTGCATATGAGTAATTGATGGTCTGTTCCACAGTTGCCCCTGGCCTTGTTTTCACTGATGATATGGAGCTTTTCCATTGTTTCTTTCCGCAGATGTAGTCAATTTGATTTCTAGGTATTCCATCTGGCAAGGTCCATGTGTATAGTCGTCTCTTACGCTGTCTAAAGAACAAATCATTGAGTTTGCAGAATTCTATCATGCATTCTCCAGCATCATTTCTATCACCAAGGCCATATTTTCCAACTACTGATCATTCCTCTTTGCTCCCCCAACCTTTGCATTCCAATCACCAGTAATGATCAATACATCTTAATTGCATGCTTGATCAATTTCAGATTGAAATTTCATTTCATCCTCACTGGCTTTAGTGGTTGATGCATAAATTTGAATAATAGTGGTATTAACTGGGCTTCCCTGCAGGCGCATGGATATTATCCTATCACAGACAGTGTTGTACCTTATGACTGATCTGGATATGTTCTTTTTGACAATGAATCGACACCATTCCTCTTCAATTTGTCATTCCCAGCAAAGTAAACCATGTGGTCATCAGATTCAAAATGGCCAATACCAGTCCATTTCAGCTCACTAATGCCTAAGATATCAATGTTCATGAGTTACATTTCATTTTTGATAACTTCCCAGATTCATACTTTGTACATTCCATGTTCTGATTTTCAGTGGATGTTTACAGCTGTTTCTCTTCATTTTGAGTTGTACTCCATTGTAAATGAAGGTTCTGTGGGCTTTTCTCCCACAGGCTTTACTCCACTCATGTCATTATGGTCAACTCTACTTTGGAGGATGCAGCTCTTCCCCAGTTGCATTTTGAGTGCCTTCCAATCTGAGGGGCTCATTTTCCAGCACTATATCTGCTATTCATAGGGTTTTCAGTGCCTAAATATTCGGAAGTAGTTCATCACTCCTTCTTCCTAGTCTGTCTTTGTCTGGAAGCTTATCTGAAACCTGTCCACCATGGGTGACCCTGTTGGTATTTAAAACACCAGTGACATAGCTTTCATAATCACAGCAACTCACAAGCCACCACAGTACAACAAACTGACAGATGAGTGGTGGAGACTACACAAGAGTGGATAGTATTACCGTATATATGATTTTTATACTAGGCTGCTGTCTTTGATGAGTTGCAAGAGAATCTTTAACCTTAAACCAAAAATGTTCCCCAAAGTCTTCTTATAACCAAACAGTTAAGCTTCTATCCCAAGCATTACACTCTTTTAAGAATAATCTGTATAGGATTTGACAGCAATGATTTGTACATGGGTATTTTCCTTTGCTGAAAATATCCATGAATGCGGGGAAGCACACACGGAGGCAATACTATGAAAACCTCTTAGACCTAACCAAACACCTTGAGGCAATGAGTCGTGGAACCTGAGGGCTCAGGACCATGGTCTCAGGGGACACCGGGTCAACTGGCCTAAGACAGGCCACAAGAACAATGTTCTACAGCCTACTTTGCTGAGCAGTGACTGGGTCTTAAAAGCTTATAAACAGCCACCTAAGGTATGACTATTGATCTCTCCCTATTAAAAGGAACGAAGAGTGAAGAAAATTGAAAGCTCAATCAAACCATGAGTCCAATGGACTAAGGGATCATGTGAACATCAGCCTCCATGACGCTGAGCTCAAAAGAACTCGATGGTGCCCAGCTACCACTATCAGTGGCTCTGGAAAGGATCACATTAGAAGGATAGAGTGTGAGAAAAGAAGTGTAACAAAACTCAAAATCCTAAAAAAGACCGACCTTACCAGTCAGATACAGAACCCCCAAGACCATGGTCCTCAGTCACTCTTCACTTCTGGAAATGACTCAATTTCCAACCAAACCCTACACAGGTCTCTAATGGGAACCAGGACACTAGGGCAGTATGCACTCCTTTCAATAATCAAGCCTTCAAGATGAAAGGACAGCACTGATACAAGGAAAATACAGTGTTAGAATGGGGTCGAAGTTCTCTGAGTAATAGTAAACTCCTAAGCTCCAAAGCAATGCCAGAAGACGGCTGGAAAATGATCTTTCTGTTTCATGTTGCTTTAAGCCAGTGGGTCTTAAATGGAGTTGATTTGACAATGGCTACAACATACTTTTGGTGTCATAACTTGGAAGTAAGGATCTAGTGGGTAGAACCCATTGATGCTGTGAAACACCCTACAATGTGCAGGATTAGCCCCCACAGCACAGAATTGTTGTTGTTACTGTAGTTGTATGATTGCAACCCACAGAGACCCCATGTGACGAAGCAAAACTTCCTGATAGTCATCTCTAGACTGTAATCTTTATGGGGACACATCCCCAGGTCGTTCTGGCCTTGGATCTATCAGTCAGGCTCTTAGCAGTCAGGCTTAGCCCCTGCAACACCCTGGGCTCCTCCAACAAAGGATTACCTGGTCCCAAATGACCACAGTGACCAGGTTGGGAAATCCTGGTTTCACTCTAGGAAAGAACTTTGAGCCTCTTTCCTCCTATTCTTTACATACAGAATCTGACAGTCTTTCAGACCTCAGTGTGATTTATAGTATGTCTAAACGGGAGTTGAATTTCAGGGTTATAACTTACGGAGGGGAAGCGGAATGCTTAAGATGTGTAAAATCAGAAGGTTACTGGGAGCTGTCCAGCAAAGCTGGGGACACATTCATTCTGACTCCAACTCAACCCCTGCACATGGTTTTCAGGTCTTACAAGTGGGCAGTACCTTTTCTCTTTTGGGCTTGATTTCTTTAAAAACATCACAGTAGCCCATGACAGCTTCAACGAACTTCAGCATTCCCAAGCCTGCTTTGCTCACAGCTTCCATTTCTTCAGTTGTGGTATTGAGTGTCTTCAGGAGACCTACAGGCCGAGAAGGCGATGCTCTCAGTGAGTTCTGACAGCATCCCCAAAACTCAGAACAGTGCAACTGGCTTCGTGGTCCTCAGCAGTCCGGGAAGCCCAATGGGATAGCATGGGTCTGACCAAGTTTTCTTGTCAGTGAATGAATAAGGGCACCAGCTCTGGATACCCAGAACCTAGGAGAAGCAGCAGCAGGGCGGCAGGGAGCTTCCTGGCGGTGGAACTGGAGGCAAACACACTGAAGGCATCTGCTGCTGTTGTCTGTCTACCACCGTCCTCCTGATCTAAGGAGCAGTCACACCGCCACCATTTTCCTTGGGGGCTCTCTGCTCCCAACACTGGGCATGCTGCTGGGGTATGCCGATGCCACTTGGGCTCCAATGACAGCCAGTCCTGTCTACTCGGCTCCGGGCCCCAGGGATCCCGTGTGACCCTGCTAAGACAGTCTGCAGGTAGGGAGCCCCTTCCTAGCTCTCCTTCCCACAACTCTGACCCCAACTGGAGATGAACCCTGGTTGTGTGCCCAAGGCCCACGCTCACCTCTGATGTTCTTCACTTGGCCCTGGGTGATGGAGTCAAAATCTATCTCCATCAGCGACCTCAGAAAGTTGGGGTCGGACATCATGCCCTTGGCGGTTTTCCAGTTGAGCTCCTTGTAGCCTTTCATGATGAGGATGCACTCGCAGACTGTCTGCACCTGCCTGGGCGGCTTCGCGAAGGACCTGGTGAGAAACAAGGACGTGTGTGGACCAGGCAGGCAGCAGGGAAGGAGCTCGAGCACAGGTGACAGGAAACAGGAAGCCACATCCCAGCAGGTGCTGCTTCCTAGGCCTCTGCCCTCAGTTTCCAGACCAGCCTTCTGGAACATGACTGGACACCAGAACTGGGGTGGGAGTGGGGGGGGGGTAGTGGTAAGCATTAAAACATAAACCCACGCCACCCCCAGAGCATCAGGGTTTGCAGGTCCGGTGGAGGCTGCACATGAACATTTCTAATTACACGCTGGGGTGATTCCTCAGCCATTAGCAGCAGTAGCAGGGTCCCACCACCCCATTTCCTAGGGGAAGGAGTAGGACCCCAGCACCTGGCTCGCCCAGGTCTCTGCCCTCAGCCTGGGCTCTTTCTAGGCCATGTGAGTGATGTTTTTGTCTTTGATGAGACCAGCCCATCCCTCTACTTCCCCAACTTTCAGAGGAGCTGGAAAGCTGGGAGGCCGGGAGAAGGAAGAACAGCATTCCCTCCAGGCTAAGGGAAGCACCCCGGCTGTCCACAGAGATGGGGTGTAACACAAGCTATGCAAAACCATCAAGAAAAAGAGGGAAGGAAGCAAGGGAGCTGGAGGTAGGATGGGGGAATCCAGGCAGGACTCTGGGATCGGGGTACTTGGTAGGTGGGCCAGGGTGTCCCAGAGAAGATGGAGGTGGAGAAAGAGGACAATGAGGGCGAGAGAGACCACATATTAGAGCAGTATGATCTTGCACCAGGCAGTATGCCCTCACTCCTGGGCCCAAGAACCCTGGTTCAGCCTCACCACCCACCCCCTCACATGCCTGTACAAGAGGGTAGGAAGCCACCCTGTGTAAGGACAAGCCAGGACAACAGCCGTGAGGGAGGGCAACGAGTCAGTGCCCAAACCCTGAGAGGTCCGGTAATGGCCCTGACTCATATGGGAGGGGCTCCTTTAGACCAGCGTCTCTGGTGATTAAAGGACCCCCTGCAAGGGGAGGCTAGGCCACCATTCTCAGAGTCATGGGGCAGGGGTGGGGGGTGGGGGGACAGGCAAAGAATGAAGATGTATTCAGACACCAGACTGGCAGGGCCTGAGCCCTTGGGCAAGTAAGTAACCTTCCAAAGGTCTCCGTTTCCCTGTCTATACACAGAACCAGTGTGTCCCAGCTCTTAAATCCAACTCTGCTCCGACCGTGGGCAGCCCGTCCTCCAGGCTCTCTCGTATCCAGCGTGTGGATACAATATGGATACATTGTTTCTAACAATGTCGGATCCTGGCAGCACTGACAGATGCTGTGTCTCAGGAGTCAGCTGCTGTCTCACTGGATCCCTCCCTTCTCTCACCTCAAGCAAGGACTCAGACTGAATGCCTAGCTGAAACCATTAGCCTACATTCTACTGGGAAAACCCATCAAACAAAAACTCAGGGATAAAAAATCAGGGAGAGAGAGAAGACAGCCTGCTCTCCCTGGAAGCAAGTCATCACTCCAACCATCCCGCAATCCGGAAGCCCCTCAGCTTTTCCCTAATGTCCTCTCTGCTTCTTGCAGCTCTCGGCCCCGCCAGCTTCCACCCTACAATGGAGAATTCCTACTTCTTGGCCGCATCCCTGTAGGGTCGCTACAAGTGGGAATCGATGCTATGGTGTTGGACTGACTGGTGTGGGTCCCCTGGCAGGTGGAGTAAGACAGGACCCCATCCCCCACAACCACAGTGGCCAGGACTTTCCCCTCCCAACCTTCTCCTACGATGTTTTTACTGCCCATAGTGGATGCCTGGGCCCGCCACAGACTTGCTGAACGCAGTGACACCCTCACATGCCGACCCCCTGCCCTCAGCCCCTGTCCACACAGGGCAAGTGTGGTCACTCAATGACAATAGAATGGACAAAAGGAAGAATAGGTACCCTCACCAGGCTCAGACTCAGGCTGGCCAATGCTGAAGGAGAGAGTCCACCTCTCATCTTCCTGCTTTGATATTGTCTGATTTCCACAAAGGGAACCGAGTGTTACTGAAAGGAAATGCTGGTTCAAGAATTCAAGGATTATGGGATTGTCAAAACCCAAGTGCTGATTCAGCAAACTCAACACCCAGATGGCCTAAAGAAAGTCAGGTCGTAGTTCTCTGAAACAAATCAATAAAGCGGATGGATACTGACACAGAATACCACCTAAAATTTTAACCACACCAAAGGTTACAGATGAACAATTATGCCATACAAGTACTAGAAGAAACCATGGGAAACTATGTAGTAACCGTGCAGTGGTAAGGCCTTTGAACTGTAACTCTGTACACAGAAAGCCCAAAGTAAAAGAGTGATACAACTTGCCACATAGAAAGTTAAGAACGTGTGCCCAGCAAAAGCTCACATACACCTAGGCCTCATAAACAACGTCAAATGGCAGATGAGAAACTGGGATGTAAGTAAGTATCTGCAACTCCTATGGAGAAAAAGCTCATCTTCCTCTTATATAAAAGGCTTCTGAAAATGAGAAAGACAAGAGAACGTAAAAAAGTTTGCAGACATACACACGATTTACACACACTTTTCACCTGTGGAAAACATAGCAACTTCACTCATAATGAGAAAAATTCAAATGAAAACAACTGGAAATAACATTTTTCCTCTGGAAGACTAGCAAAATTCTAAGATTGGACAGCACCCTCTGTTGGTGAGACTGTGAAACAGCGGGCTCTCGAGACTTGTCTAGACGTTGTCTCCCACTCCTGACGACCCCACATGGACAGGTGGGGCTTTCAGTGGCTGAGGTTTTGGATGTAGATTGCCAGGCCTTTCTTCCAAAGTTCCTCTAAGTGGACTTGAACCTCCAACTTCCCCGTTAGCAGCTGAGTGAGATAGCCATTTGGTGGGACAAGTGCAGCTATGGGAATCACAAGTGCACCGCCCTTAGATCCAACAACTCCAGGGCGAGAGACTGTCCTTCAGATAGACATGCGCAGGTGCACAATCAAGGCAAATGCAGGTTTTTCCTTTGTCCCACTGGAAACCAGCTGAAGGGTCATCAAGGGGGTGGGGGTGGGTGGGTAGACACGGGAAATAAAACACAGCACGGCCATCAACCATTTGCAAAGACTTGGGGAGCTCTCCAGACACTATCGTGCAAAAGCTCTCCAAACAGTACCATGAAGAGAAAAACCCCCAAGGCGCAGAAAAATGAGCTGTGTGTTGTTATGAATATTTATATTTCAAAGGGACAAAAATATATACGAGAGGGCTTCAAAAAGACCATGGACAAAACGCATGCAAAATATGTAATTAAAAGATCATGGGATTTTTTCTGGAACTTTCTGAAACCCCCTACCCATATACAAGTATCCCTCCCTCTCCCGACTCTGTGACTACTAAGTCAGACGTGAAGAGACCTGTGTGTCTGCGTCGCCTTGACCGTCTGTGAGTCTCTAGACAGACACATGGGTGCTCGGAAGCTGTGGCCAGCCCAGCTCGAGAGCCTTTTGTCCAGAGCTCACCGCCCTCGCAAGGACCCAGACACAGTGGGGATGGTTAGGGTCCATGTTCGACAAAGGAGGAAACCGAAGCACAGAGAGGTCTGATGACTTACTGAGGGTCATACAGCTGGCAAGAGGCAGAGCCAGGTATCTGCCTAATCCCATGATCACAATTCTGAAAAACTTCTCCTCTTATGCCCTGGTGGCACTGTAGTTGAGCACTCGACTCCTAACTAAAATGTCAGCAGTTCAAGCCACTACCTCCTCCACAGGAGACAGACAGGGTAGTCGGCTTCCGTAGAAACGTCGGTCATGGAACCCCTATAGAGCAGTTCCTCTCTGTCCTACAGCGTCGCCGTGGGTCTGGGTGTGGTTCAGTCTTACTCCACAGGCCACTTTAGCTTTCTCAGGATGGATCAGGCACCAGCTAACTGTCCAGATCTCCACGTGGTTTACTGAAGCCTCCCCAACCCCACCCAGCTGGCAGAGGGAGGCAGACTCCCATTCCCATGGGTTGAGGAGGGAGCTCACTGATCCATCTCTCCAAATGATTCCTTCACGATTCCTTCCCAACTCTCTGTTCTCCCAATGCTCTTCCTCTGCTATCTGGGCGTGCTGGCCTGAAACCGTATGACTGCGGGGTTGGGTGTTGCTGTGTGCTGTCGAGTCGATTCTGACTCATAGTGACCCTGGATAGGGTTTCCAAGGAGCAGCCACTGGGTTTGAACTGCCGACCTGTAGCTAGAAGTACAGTGTCCATCCTACAGCACCACACCAGGAGTTAGGAAGTTTCCTTGAAAATGGGTGTTGGTCACCTCTCCCACAAGTTCACTTAGTATGTGTCATGAACTGGATTGTGCCTGCCCCCTCAAAAACAAAGTGTCCATGTGGCTGGGTCATGATTCTCAGTGGCCTGACAGTTAAGTACTAATGTAAAGACCCCTTCATGATGTGATCTGATGTAATTCTCTGTGTTGTAAACGCTCACTTCCATGATGCTAATGCCATCTACAGGGTTACGCTATATCTTGAGTCAATCTCTTGAGATATTAACGAGATGAAACAAACAAGCAGAGCCCACAGACCTACTACTACTGAGGAAGAAGAGTGATGAATGGAGGACGTCCTTTGGACCTGGATCCCTGAATGTGAAGCGCCTAGATCCAGGGGAAGACTAATGCCAGGACACACAGAGATCTCCAAGGACTGCTGGGCCTACAGATGCTGAAGGAGACAAGGACCTTTCCCCCAGAGTCCACAGAGAGAAAGCTTCCCTGGAAACTGTGGGAGAAGACATTTCTCTTTGTTACATCATCCACTTGTGGTATTTCTGTTTCAACAGAGCTAGGTAACTAAGAAAGTATGTTTCTATTCTATTTTGGAACCTCTACCTAAATTTCCAACACATGCCACTGAAACCAAAATTGCCCATCCTCATACTTTTTGTGTGATAGAACTTGCCGTCTGTATGGGAATCCTAGGTTCGATTCCTGGCACACGCATCTCCTGTGTGACTACCACCCTTCTATGATGGGAGGCGTGTGTGCTGCTGGGATGCAGAACAGGCCTGTAAAGTTGCCATGGAAACCCTAGGGGTCGCAATAGCCCCATCTACACTGGCCGAGGGAGTGGCGTGGGGCCGGGCACAGTGTTTCACTTTGTGTGCATCGGGTCACTTTGGAGAGCTGGCAAGTGGCACCTTCAGATGTCCTCCCGAGAACTCATCAGGGCCCGTGCAGCCCCTGCTCTGGAATACATGGAACTTCTAGACTAAATCCGCACCCACTTCACTCATGAGAAGACAGGGCAGGCCTTGGACCAGGAATACTACTGACCTCGGGACACCATGAGAAGAGCACTGGCCACTAACCCCATTCCCCAGGGAACCCAAAAATGGACACACTCCACCGACTGGTGCCAGGAGGAGGGCGAGGAAGGGAACACAGAGCACCGAGATTCCTAAGCCAGAGGTCTGAGGGGAAGATGTCGGCCAGTGTCCCCGGATCACACCTCCTGCTCTTCCTGACAGCAGGCAGGCGGTGCTGCAGACTGCCTTGGAGTCACAATAATGACTTCACCAGCCCAGTGGTTGGAGATGGATCCTGGCGTCATGGTGGCTGTTTTCAGAGGGGAGGGCAGATACTGCACCAGGCTGTCTGGTTCCTAGCACCCTGTCTCTCCTATGCCGCCTCCTTCTGGACTCCAGCGTCCTTGGGGAACCAACCTGGCTTTCAGGTGGGGTTCTAATGCCTTGCGGCCATGTGGAGCCTTGGGCCCATCTTCTCCCCTCTGTAGAGAAGAGCAATCCCAGCCAGCACCGTGAAGCACCCACAGGGACAGTGCTTGGCCCCGTGCCCAGCATTTAGCCTGGGTGCCATGACTACCACCACTACATCCCAGGGAGCAGTGGGAGAGGGCGGTGGGTTACCTGATCTCTGTCACGTCGGACTTGTCCAGCTTCTGCAGCTCCAGCTTGGCGGCCTCCAGGATGGGCATGACCTCGGCCAGCGCCGTCTCGGCCTCGGCCTTCTCCACAGCGATGATGTTGTTCTGCTCCTCAATCTCCATGGCCTTCTCCTCGGCCAGTTTCTTCTTCTCCTCCGCTGT